TGGCTTGGAAACTGCAGGAGGAGCTGCGTCTTGAAGGCTCCACCCACAACTGGATAGTTGCCATGGAGATTAAAAGATTTCTTAGACTTGAGAATCAAGGCAACACTTCAGGTATGTTTTTGACAAGGGGACAAAATTAAACATGGTGTAAAGCTAAAAAAAAAAGTCAATTTTACATAACACTGTCCCTTTAAGTATACATAATCTGCAGTGCCTGGAATATTTCAAAAATATTGTAACTCCTAATTGAATAAAGCTCCAAAGGAGGGATACCTGTGACCACACGATACAAAATCCATCAAATATACCAGCAATTGTGGAGGCGAATGTCTCCAATCTGCTTTATAGGATTCCTTTTCTATGTTCAGGCCCTATTAAACTACATGAAGATGACTCCATCGCTACCGGCATTGCCTCGGTAAATAGCCTACCACTTGGAGGGGGGGAGGGGGGCATTGTCACTGGTAATTGAAGAGACAGATGCCTTCGCCTGCCTGAGAAACCCTCCATGGACTCAGACCGTGAGAGGGACAAGCTGGTGCCTCAAAGATTGCACCCAATGGGGGGATAAAACTAATCAAGAATGCAGACTGAAATATTTATGCTGATAATGCAAAATCCTTCAGCTTGGCAAGATGATGGGGCAAAAGTGTTCCTGCGCGCCGAACAAACGAGGACGTCATCCTAAAGAGGACTCTGCTGCCATCTGTTATCATGGCGTCTCCGGCTTCCTCCGGTTATAGGTTTTCACACGAGAGTAATTCTTAGCCACTCTCTGAGATGTTCCCGCCAGGGAGACGGGAAGCAAGATGGCAGTTTAGTGCACTAAACTCACTCCTCCGCTCGCATCAGCAGGGACTGCTGGTGGTTCTTGATGTCATTTTAATGGAGCCGCTTGTATTCTCCAGAGCGCGCTCCTCTCAAGCCGCTTCCAGTCAAAACACCGGCGCCGTTCGGAAATGCCTCCCTGAAAATGGTCTGAAAAATAAAAAGAATAGGCGCTGCGATGAAATACTCCTGCAAGCTGAGACCCTTGGTGGCCACTGCAAGCAGCGATTTCTGTTTCAGTCTCCAGCGAAAACAAGGACTTGAAAGAAGGTTGGATTTTAGATCTGAAAGCTTATAACTGTTGGAAATTAACATTTTTTCACAGTACAATGTGAGGAATAAATGAAATAAACATACTTGAGTTCAAAACATATAATAATTACAACTTTGTGAAATAAAAGAGAATGGGAAGTGGAGTGTGTTCTCATGTTTGTAAATTTAAATGTTCACAAAACAGAAACCTCTCTGCATGTGACTTTAAAGTTAAAAGTAGAGACTTTGGTCACCGTCCAATAGCATTAAGGCATAAAATCTGTGCCAATCACTGCAGCAAATCAGAAGAGACATTGATGCTCCGCATTTAAACCCCCCGAAAAGGCATCCAAGGGCAAATTAAAGGATGGAGAATGGAAGCACTTAACATTTATTTTTTATTGCAGAATAGCTACTGCATGGTTTTAAATGTACATATTTGTGTGATAGAGAAGCTACACAATTTTAGGGCAGATTTTTAATTAGGAAAAACTCAAAAATGAGTTTTTAATTTTGAAGATTGCATTAAATAAAAAAAAAGAAAAAAGGATTTCTAGAAATAAAACTGAAATTGTGATTTTGCTGTTTGTGGAAAAAAAGGGAATAAGTCTTTAGTGAATAAACAGTCAGTCTGAACCTGACTGTTTATTCAGACATTTTAAAGAAAGTTTCCTTTCTTACATAACATCTGGTTCATTCAGGCTGCAGGAAAGAGCAGGATTTAAACAGACAACAGGAAGTGACAAAAATATATTATTTTTTCACAATATTCTTTTTTTTTTTTGCTCTACTTTAGATGCATGTAAAATTAGATCCGCTTGTTTATCTGACCAGAATTAACAGCTTTGGTTATCGTTAGCTCGGTAAAGAGGGAACATGGTGTTCTCATCTTGAAGCTGCATGTGATAAACAACCAATAAATTCAACATATAATAGCAAACGGTTGTGAGGATGGAGTTAATTATCCTGAATTATTCTGAATTTCCCTTCAGTGGGACAATAAAGGCCATTTCTATTCTAATTAGAAAACTACTAAATCAACTGCAGCACAGCATTAGGCATCTCAAAGAGAAAAGGACTGGATGTACTGTAGGAGACAGATAAGCATATCATAATGAAGATAAGATTGTTTTGTGACTTCCTTGAGACTTTAAAGAGCACTTTCAAGTTCCCCTCAGTGAAGTGGCTTGCATCTTCTTACATAATTAATACAAAACTACAGAAGAAGAAAGCAGCAACGAAGTTAAGGATCCATATAGAAGACTCTCTTCCTTTAAGATGGAAAATAAATTCCTCTTATTTTTCACATGCAGGCAGCAGAGAGTGACAGAAAACATGGAGGGCAAGGGAAATTGAACAAAACAAGCACCTCACAGTGGCGTATTGAACCGTGGAAGCTGCTGTCATGTCGGATGTGGCCCAGCCGTCAGGCCAGCAGGGTGCCATGTCTGCTGCTTTTTTTAATCATTCTTTCAGCTTCATTTAAAAGTTTTTTCCCTCCTCATTTTTTCCCCCCCCGCAACACTTCAGCCAAGTATTTTCCATCCTCCAGAGGAGAGCGTACCCTATACTTTACCTTTGTGACCTTAATTTGAGGTTTGCGAGGCCTGCCCCCCCTCAGGCTGCAACGCACAGCTGTAATTAGTATAAAGTGAGCTCTTCAGTCATGCATGAAAGCGGCGACTCCACGCAGACACGCAGGAAGAGGAGCAGAGCTTCATCTGAGCCACACTGTCAATCAGCCAACAATATTTTACGTGTTCCTGCAAATCTAAATGCGTCCCGCTGTGCCGCCGAGGCGCAGATCTAATAAATGTTTGCATGAGCACTAATGATCCTGCATTCATTACAGCTGGCAAATTTAATCTACTAACAAGGTGCATTCTGGTAATTAATGGTGTGGTTGGAAAGGACAAAATGAAGATGAAAGAAAATACATCTCAGATGCTGTGCAAAGTCTCTGGCTCTGCATTTATTTGCGGTTTGAAGCTCAAGCTTCCAAAGTTCGTTTTTGCATATGGAGAATTTAATTTTAGGGAGAAATGTAAACACTTTTCAGTGTTATATAAGGGTGTTAATGAAAACTGACTGCAAACTTGCAACACAACCAGCCAAGTATCCTTCTGGGTCTCCAATAAGTTTATGTCAAACTTGACCCTCATTCAGGTCGTGTAGAACTTGCAATGCAATTTTGAAAATAAATCACACATACAACGGTGTGATATTATCGATTGAGTCTGGAATGATTGACTTCATCAGCCAACAGAACAGCAAGCAGTTATCAACGGGTTGCAAGCCCCACTCAACAAGTCATTAATAAAATGTATTAAGTACAACAGAGTACATTAAATCACAGAGGTAAACGAAGAAAACCAGACACAAATCAAGCAGAAAAAAGACAAATTAGTTAAAATATTCACCTATAACCAACTATTTTTCCTTCACGGTGTAAAGTTAAATTAAACTGAATGTGTTCTGTTTTAGATCAGGTAAATAAATTATGTCTTATTTATTATTACATTTCTGTTTAAATAAGATATACAAGACATTATAATGTCTTATTTAGACATTTCTGCTTGCTAAATGTCTAAATAAGATTTTAGCAACTAGCAAAACACTAATTTATCAATTTCCCCGCAAAGCCTTCATATATTTCTTGTAGAATTGGAGAAACAGTACTCCTGAAACTCCTTTTAAAACAAAGCTAAATTATATTTTCAAAATAATAGCCTCAACATTGCATAATTATTTGCATATTAATCAATCAAGATTATTTGTATAGCACTTTCCCTTGGTCCTTTAATCCTGGTAATAACATTCAGGTGATAAAAGGCTGACTTTGTAACCGTCTTTATGTGGCTCTGAACGTTCAGGTCCGATACCAGATCCAAAGACGATAACTTCACTTCTGTTTCTGTTCAGTTGGAGAAATTAAGACACATCCACACATTGTTGTAAGCATCTGTTCAGTGCATGGATGGTTTCAGAATTACATGGTGACATTGTAACGCAGAGCTGTGTATCACCTGCATTAGGACACGATATTATCAGCATGCTATCGTATCGGCTGATATTAGCTGTAAAATATAATATCGGACATTCCGTCAAAAATAACTTACCGATATAAAAAGCGTTGATTTTATATGACAAACCAGTGACAATGATGCCTGCAGCACAGCACAACGTCCAATTTGCACAGTGTGAGTGTTGTCATTGTGTTGGCGAGAGCAAATGTCATTAATACATTTGACATTAAACATAATGCAGCCTCCTTTTTAGCATTTGCATTTGGTAGCAGGCTAACTTGACAAAGATAATACAGTGTTTTAATTCCACAGTAGAGAAAGCCATATAGTTTCAGTAGGTAGGTATAGGAAAAAACGTTAGTATTTTTAGTATATTGGCATATTGGATATCAATATCATACATTCTTAATCTGCATAGTTAAGTTAACTAATCTTATTTTCTGTTGTTACGTAAGCTATTAGGAGTATATAGATATTCAATAGGTGGAGTCCTAGGTTTGAGCCTTGGAGTACTCTGTATTTTAGGCCTCTTAAAAAAAAGAAGACATGATTTTTGCATAGTTCTTACATTTGGGAAACAAACTCAGACGTGTCTGTTCAGACTTCCCCAGATGAACAGTAATGCTCTGAAGCACAGATTGGTGACTTTGCATTTCTATCTGTCCTGTATTTCCAAACAGCTGATCAGATTAACACAGATAATCAAACACATCAAACACAGATCACCTTGTACCCAAACAAGATGGCATAACAGACAGGATAAGACACAAACAGAGTGTAAACTCTTCCAACTTTTAAGGTCAAATCTTACCCGCATTGAGACTAACTCAGTCGCAGAAACATTTGGCTGCATCAGAGAAGCTTGCGCTTCAGATTTGATCCGCTGCTACTCACCGTCTGATACGTTAGAATAAACTTCATTATATGGCCGACAGGCATGTTCTGGGTGAGGAATTCCCTCATGCTGGGCAGAGCCGGCTGGTACTGGATCTTTGCTGGAGGATGAACAAAAACAGGATATAACTCTTATAAAGCAACTACAATAAGAAGATGGAATGGAAAAGCATGTTTTTCATGCAATTTTTCAACATTTTTATGGCTTTGCTTGTTTTTCTGTTTGCTGTGGTTTATCTTTGTCATCTTGGGATGTTTCCTTACTCTCAGAAAAGGAAAAACAAATATATTCAGAAAGAAAAATAGACAAATCTACATTGGATTTGACCTTTCACATAAAGAAAGTTGTTTTTCTAAGAGCCAACGTAAAAATGTCCTTGCTGGATTTGAAGTTGTGGCCCGAACAAAGTTTTTGTTTTCATTACCTCAAGAGATGCCAAAGTGAAAAGAGAAATCCTCTCTGAATGCCTGTCAAAATATTCCAAGGTTTTCTTAAATGGATGCTTTTATTTATTCAGAAAGCTTTGGGAAAATGCCATCTCTGAGTCTAATGGGATTAAAAAAATGCATTTTTAATATCGACTCTAAACTAATGTAAACTTCTTTCATCTATTTTTGTGTAAATCTGAAAGATTTGTTCTTTTTTTGTTCTCAGCATCAGTAACATTTTTTAAGCAACGCTTCAGTGTGATCAGATATGAAACTGATTTCAGTTGACATGCAACCAATTTCAGTGTTCCTTCTAAACATACAGACACTTTCTTGCTTCCTTAATTGCTGACTTGTTTCTACCAAGTGTTTAATTTTCACTATTTAAGTCATTTTGTTCCTTGAAGACGAAGGTTCATCAAAATCCTCAAGGTTGAAAATTAGATCGTTTGGTTTTCAGTCTGTTCTGTTTGCTTGTTTCAACCTCTTTTTTTTAATCAGTGTTATTTCTTTTCATAACTACCAAACATCCTTGTCAATTAATGTCAATATTTTTGTAAATAACATGTTTTGCACTTAAATCCAGCAGTTCTTATTGGTCAGATAGGATTAATCACTTCAGCACTTCAGGTTAATCTCTCCAGAAAAGAAACTATTAATTAATACAACACTTAAGCTAATCTGTATTGTCAGTTAACTCCCACAAACTAAAGCTGTTTTCCTGCAGTGCGAATCCCCAGGAGGCAAAGTGAGGCCATTTCTGAACGCCTGGCAGGTGAGGCAACATCTGGCCAGAAGCCAGGCTATTAACAAATGAACCACAGGAAAGAGGTGATGCATCATTTTTCAACTGTCAAGACCTGCCACTAAGCTCAAAACAATGCTGAGCTAAATTTATGAGCCACCGGCAGTAAAGTTGAATAACTGGGAAACGATAAGTGGCAGCAAACTAATTTGACATGGCCACATATCCGATTGAAAGACACCAGCACATGCATAACTTAAAGCTCGTCAATAGGAGCCTCATGCATCATTTGTTTCCAGCTGAAAACTTGTACTTCGTTTGAATCGGATACAATGTCTTGCTCAAGTATCCAAGTACAAATTGTGATGAATATCATTTGGATTTTATGTAATAACTCAACAGAAAGTGGTGCAAAATTGAAATAATACATAACAGAGAATACTGTTGCACGTACAGATGGCCGTCTCTCCCAGGATTCATTAACCACCAGTGGTTGACATTTCTGTCAGGTTGGTGCACACAGACAAGATATTTAACTTCAGTTCCACTAAATACATTTTAAATAGAGTTTTATAGTAAAAGCAAAGATTTAGACGATTTACCCCCAGTCTCTAAGAAGACAAATAAAAGTTTTGTTTCAAATAAACACCAAGATCGTGTGCATGTAATCTTTTTTTTAGCCACAATGAAAACCATGTGGCACTGCAGATACCACTCCAACTCAAACTAAATGGTGTAAAAATGAAAAGAAAGCCTAAAAACCTCTAAAAGGCAGTTTTTCCACTGAAGTGAAAATCGGATCACTGCTCTCAACTTTTCCAGACACCCATCAATTTCTTCTCTTGGCCTTTTGAATGTGCGTTGCTTTTGGCACCTTTTGAGGACCTTATTGATCATTCTGCCATGCTTCTCTACAGGGGATACAAGGAAGGGCTCAGTCTGTCAACGACAACATCGACTTTTCCAAAAAAATCTCAAACATAAATGAGTGGACCTTCCTTATACAGCAGCTGAAGGATCCATTAAAGGAGCAGCAGCTCAAACTATTCTCACAAAGTGAAGGAAGAACCAATATTCAGGTTTTCATTTCTGAGGTTAAAGACTTTTTAAGTGCTCACAAGATGACGACTCAAAGTTATTTCTTGCAAACTCTGAGTGCAGCATTATCCAACCAGCAGAGAGATGAGTTCAGAGGGAAGAAGGACATTTTAGGTGAAAAATTAAGACCACTGACAAAGAATGTGTATCAACATTTGATGAGAGCCAAACATTTTTTAATGTATTTTTAAATAAAAATAAAAAAAAATTTCTCACCAGCTCAAGTTAAATCAGTGCAAGCTTTTCTTCTTTTAGCTAAGCTACAATTACCAAAATTTATTATATTTGCTAAATGTCAGAAAACTTGACGAGAATTTTTTTTGAAACATTCCTCAAATTCAAAAGTTTACTTACATTTGGTCAATATCAGGAATAACTGTCTTTTAAACTATGACTTGGGTCAAACCTTTTGGTCATTTTCTTTTATTTTTCCTCTTTTCTTCTCTTATGATTAGTTTTTTCCCTCCCATGATTCCCATGGTCTTTAAAGTTTGCAATTTAGACGTTTCCAAGATATTTTAAACAGACATAATACATAACTTTATAATTAATATATTCTTTTTTCCGTTTCTCCTACATCACGTGTCAAGCTGAAGGCCCGTGGGCCAAATCCGGCCCGCCACAGGTTTTAATGTGGCCCTTTAGATTCTAGACTAAGCACAGAGTGGCATAAATATTATCAGTTTTTATCCGTTTACTGCCAAATTATATCAGTCAGTCCCTCCACTTTCTTGATAATCATTATGGAAATTCACCTAAAATCAACAAATGCCCACACTTTTTTGTGCTAATACATAATTAGGAGTTTATTGCAGATTTATCTCAAATTGTCAAAAAACTTTCCAACTTGTACTAAACAGCTGCCTCAGCTTTGATTGATGTCAGATTATAATCTATACAAAAAGTCACATGTACCGCCATAAATGAGTGCAAATATTGCAAATATTTCCAAATTAGTACCACAAACACTTTGACTTTTTATTGCAAAAATCACAAAAAGTATCACAAAATCCTGGAGGGACTGAAAAGATGTTCAATAATATTTAATTTTAAGAATTCATTGATATTTTAACAGTTTCATAAAAGGTTTTATCAATACATTTTGGCACCTTTAAGAAGATTAATGACCTTAATTTGGCCAAAATGAAAATGAGTTTGAATCGTAGCTTTGACATGGTTTTTAATCTGACATTTCTGAGATGACTCTATAGCCACATAATGAATGCGTCAGAAGGAGATGCGCTCATTCTGTGTCGATATTCAGAAACAAATATAAATGCTAGAACGTGAAGAAAGATGCTTTAAAATTGATTGGAAATGTCCAGGATTGTGACATAAAGGAAAGTATTCCAACATTTTAAAAGTAAAATCAACCCACTTCATGCAATTTTCTGAAATTCTTACAGCGTATCTTTTCATGGCATATTAAAGACCAAGTGTCAACACAAGTTCTGGTCTCTAAACGCTTTTTCCCCAAGTTGTCTTAATCTCATGTTCTCATTTTAAAGCGCCGTTGCATTTCATCCTGTCTCAGTTCATTTTGACAAATACACCACTAGAAACCCGCTGACCTTCCTTTCTCAATTTCCTCTGTCACAGAGATCCGAGTCAAATCGCAGTAAGAGCCCAGGAGAAGGCTTCAACATTTTCCAATGCTCTCTTAAGCAGAACTTTCAAGCACTGCTAAAAGCCCATTCAAGGTCCGACAGTGAAACATGAAACGCCACTCAAATCCATGCATTTTATCAAAGAGATGATGATTCAAAGATTAAGATTGCAAATGGAAATGCATGATGAGAAACAAAAAAGCTGGGGTTTATTACTGCACATGCTATGAAATTAGATCATTTTCTTTATGTTCAAAAAGCAACAGAATAGAGAGAATAATGCAGCCTGACAAACTTAAGGGGAAAATGAAAAATATGCACAACATTTTTGTTTTAGTGTGTGGCTGAGGCAATTTAATGTGGATCAGGAAAGAGCAGCAATGAATCGTTTTTTTTTTTTTTTTTTTTTAATCATAGAGATACGGAGTACCTTACCTCACAATTCTGGGAAAGTATCCATACACACGGCCAACATTAAAGAACAAGGTAATAATGACAAATGGATACCATTAAAACAAGAAGAAAAATTACAGCAATAAACTGTAAGGCCATCAGAAACTGGGAGCATTCTTCATCAACCACTTAATCTAAATGTTAAAGATAGGTTTACATCTAAAAGCAGGTTCCACCACAGACCCTTTAGTGAATTACCTACTCAGACCTCTGACACTTATGAAAATGGAAGGCTGTGCAGCTGAAAGAGACCGCCTCCAACATTTTTCTGTGCATATACTATCATTAACATACTTGCAAGGCGCTGTATGTCTTGTGGTAAAGTATTCCCCCTTAACTTTTTACGTTGAAAATCAAACTAAAACCACAAACTTAAATGTATTTTAATGGGTTTTATGTGATAGACCAACAGAAATACATTCATAAGTGGGAAATGTAAGAGAAAGATGTATGGTTATGAACTGAAAAATGCAGTTTACACTTGTATTAAGCTCCTAAGTTGATCCATTGAGCTGATTAACAAACTGTGTCAAAGAGAGGAAAATAGACGAGTCGGGGAGAAGGTTTAAAGCAGGGTTGGGTTATAAAACAACCTAAACTTTGAAGATCTCAAAGAGAACTCTTCAGTTCATCAATACTGTAAAGTTACTGCATAATTGTACAGTAATTTGTGTTAAATTCCCAATATAACATCCAGAAGTTTGTGGTTGTAATGTGAAAGAATACCTTTACAATGAACTGCCTCTTAATACAAGTCAAGTTTTCTTCA